GGACTGAACTCTGAAGAGGCTCAAGGTCAGCAAACGTTTCACGTTAGAAGCGGTTTGTGCCAGCATCGAGAAGGAACGGAAGGGCCTGATGTCAGTGTAGTCGTACTCGCACAACCACTAGAGGTCATTCAGGGGTGGATCGTGAAATGATGAACAGCAAGGATTGGGCGATCCATGGGGGCCAGAGGTTTGAATGGATTGAAGCAGGCAGGGTTGGGGCCGAGGGAGGGGATTTGGGCTCACCGCACACCGCACACAGAAGTGGGAGTGGTAGTTTCTGGAAGCGCCCTTGTCGGGTGCAGCAAAGGATTCGAGGAATGGCAAAACACCTTGGCCAGCTGTACAGGACAAAAGAGGTGTGATTTGAGATAGAGAACAACAAGTCGACAAGTCGGAGCGGCCGAATCAATTATGTATGGGCAGTTGAGGACATTCCGGGTGCGGGCGCAGCCCAAGTGTGCAACCCACCGAACAGGCGGGTTCGCGGGTCTGATGGTTGGATGGTTGGATGGGCTTGGAAAAAATGCCACAGGGAATGAACCGAAAGTTGAAAGCGAAGCTTTGAAGCCCGACGTCATGTCATGGCGCCATGCATTCCCCGAGTGCCCAAAGCTACTAGGTAGGTATAGGCACCTGGGCACCCAAAAAGGTCTTTGTCTCAAGTTGGATTAATATTATCTACTCGGGACACCCCCGGACCACACTTTTAGTGCCCTTTGAAGGAGCCAGTGCAAGCCCAGCCAGCTCCATCGCCATTCTCCATCTCCGTCTCCGAATTCTTTCTCTCGATACCCAACGCGCTGGTCCTGAGCTATCCACCTCTCCACACATACTCGGTACACAGCTACACTTACTGGCACGGCATCTGCCTACACCTGCTCTCTCTTTCTTTTATTCTCTGACTCTACCCACTGCTCTCAATCCAATGACTCACTCGTCTTCCGAGACTTGCTCCTCTCCCACTGAATCTTCACATTCTTCTCCTCCAACAATATCAGGCACCACTTACACCCGTCCGAAAATCGTTGCCTCTCAAGACGGGGACAGTGCTACCGGTTCTGCCCAATCAATCTGACTATAAAGTGATCTTTTGCTACCAAATGTACGTCGATCAATGAGCTGCTGCCCAATCTAATTTCCAGTCGACCACCTCTGTAGTCCCTTCATCTTCTAGCCCTGGGACTTTCTTCCCGTTGTCCCCTCCCAGCTGACCCCGTGACAGTGGTGTAGTGCCGACACAAGTACAGGCGCGTTTGCCTTTTATCCCCTAATGTTTCAGGCGTTTGAAAGCAAGGAATAGTGTTGCGTCCTCGTCTCCGCGCCTCTCACACATTCACAGACGTCGGGCGCAGAGCAGCACCCCGCCAGCTCTCAGCAGAATTCTTCCATTCCTTCCGAGATCCGGTTCCCGAAGACTCTGTGCCACTAAAGTTTGTCCAGGAGGAAGGCTGCAAAAATTCCCATGAGCGGATGGGATCCTATTTGGGTCGTGAGAGGCCCACGCTCGCACTGCCATCCACCAGTTGGCAAAACTGCGACAATTTTCTGCCGATGCTGGTGCTCTACTTTTCAAGAGGAGATTGCCCAATACCTGGCGTGTCGGCACATGACCACCATCGCCCTTGTTGCAAAGCACTCGTGATCGGAAGCTTCGCAGAATGCATTTGGGCGCGGGCTCATCCAAGAGCCCACAGTCTAGAGTTTGAACTTTCGTCCCACAGCTTACTCTTTGCCGGCCGTCTCTTTGATGGTGCTTGATGCAGAACGATTCCACTCACTAAATCTCCGCAGTGACGCTGGACCGCCTCACGAGCTGGTGCTAGACTCATCTACCGCTGACGGCAGTTGCCTTCTCCCTTCCACACCAATTGCGTCTCTACAGTGGGGCCGCAAGGCTGTGCTATACATGGAGCAAAATGAAATTTTGCTTGTTTCTGAAGCACTGCTAGGTTTGTGAGACCGGCGAGGTGTAGACATTGTAAGTATGGTAGTTCTGGTAGACCGTGCCGCGAAGTTCTCCTCGGCAATCTACAGATGGGGCACAGTTGGCCAGGCTCTCTAATCTCGGATCTTGGAGCAGCGGACAATGTTACAACACACATCGCTTGAAGTCGCCTAGCAGTTGCGCTGAGAAGTATTGAGGATGTCATACTCTTCCAACGCCTGTCACTGCCACAGTACGGGAGCTTTGATTTGCACCCCCGCCCCTCCCCCCCCTTCTCGGGGAGACAAGGCGTGCTCATGGATATCGAAGTCATCAAAGGCACGGAACAACTGAATGCGGCGCAGATTTCTGCCTTTATACATTCACATCAGTGAAGAGAGGACGGGGTCTATTCCAATCAGAAACGCTGCTGTGTCTGAATTCGATCAGTTGAGTGTTTCGTCATGAAAAATGCAAGCTTGTCAGCATCGACAGATGAGCAGGCGTTGGCTGGCGAAGGGGGCTGATGCTCTAGACTACCAATGGAGTACGACAGCATGGTGCAATTTGCACTTACTCAACACCGCCATGTTCTCACGAGGCAAAAATGGCCTTCAAGTCACATTATCGCTCTGGTCTTCAAGTGCTTCTCTCGAGATATAAGATCATCCCATCGAGTCTCAAAGGTAGGTCATGTCCATTCTCTTCGTCAGTCTACACTGTCTACCATATCAGCACAAGCATTCTCCTTTCTTCTGTCCCTTCATTCTTCCACGTATTCCTTATTCAACCCAACAATTGCAACGAAAGCTTGCGCCTCTTGTACCATCTCAAGAGCAGCTGCTCCCTGATACCTGATACAGTTGCTGGCCGTCGTTCGCCGCTCGTACGCGAGCCACGGGCTTTTTGATCGACATAACGTCCACTTCCTCATCACTGCTTCCTGTCATTCCCGAGCCAAGCCATGGCTTCGAACCAGCCGATATTGTGGCAATGCTGCAAATGCGACAACCGACCTATGAAGGTCGCCACTAATCCAAAATGCTTGTGCGAGCATGAACGCTGCCGCAATTGCAAGACAGACGATAACATTGACAGTGCGGTAAAGGCAACAGCCGTAGATTCTTACCATCACATCAGCTATCTTCAAGCAAACACTTGTGATGACCATCGATTTCGAACTCCGGCTCAGGCGGTTTCTCCAGTCATGCACCCCAATCGTCGTACCACTCCCGTGTCGACCGGCACCAAGTAGCGGCAGAAAGCTATTGGTATTGAGATGCCTACGACAACCTCGACAATATAGAGCTGGCCATGGGCAAAAGCACCATTTGTAGACCTACAAAGTGTCCTCATTGGTCTGATGTTTGATTGTGTCGCGCTTTGCAAGGGGCGGGTGGCGAGGCTCTGAGCATTCAGGGGAGTCTTTCACCACAGGCCAGCCTCGTAATCTTTTTCGGCCTTAGTGCCTTGACACCACCCATGCCTGGTCTGGTAAAGACGCTGCACTTTTGGGCATTGACTGGTTTACGCTCATTGGACCATCTTTGACGACAACAACTCTCATCTCCCGCACAACCACGGCTTCAGTCTCTACCAAATATTTCATTAGCCAGCCACCAGCATTCTGCAGGCCCCTTGTTACGGACGATGTCATCAGCAAGACAGATCCCCATTTCACAATGTCCCAGGAGCCTCACAAAATATCATCCAGCTGGGTCATTCACTCATTCATTCACTCACCCAGCCATCTCATCAACTTCACCCCCACCATCGTTTCTCCCCTGAACTACTTTTTCTGGCCCCTCAACACCGGGTCTCTTTCTATCGGGGAACACCACACGATACAACCACAGCACGTTTGTTCTTTAGGCGGATCTCCACCACTCTCTCATCCATCCGCTGCGCTGCTACCTACCTACCTACACACATGGATAGGTACCTACCTACATGCCCATGCATGGACGGGGATAGGGAGAGCACACCGCCAATCTTTTCGCTTCAGATAGTGTCGTTAGTATACTCCACTCGTTTATCTCGACCTAAGAGATATCTATTTCTTCATGAACAAGTCCTACGGAGGAACAAATCCCGCCGTTGACTATCCTCTCTTTCTTCTTCCCTCTCCTCTCTCTTCTTCCCTCTCCTCTCTCTTCTTCCCTCTCCTCTCTCTTCTTCCCTCTCCTCTCTCTTCTTCCCTCTCCTCTCTCTTCTTCCCTCTCCTCTCTCTTCTTCCCTCTCCTCTTCGTCTCCCTCGCTCATTAATTTCTCCTCCGCCCTCTCTTCCCTCGTGTTCTTCTCCGCTCCATCTTCACCCGACCCTACTTATACTTACTTTACTTCCTTTGTTTCGATTGATCTGACCTGGTCCGACTTGGCCTGGTCTGGGTGAATGCACCTACCGAGTATTCATGGACGTGTACGTGTGTGCGTTACAGAAGCGTTGTGGCATCGAAGACACATCATCGCTTACTATATACTACGCCATCCTTGCCGACGCCTTACAGTTTACTCCCAGTTTTCCCCCAGTCGAATGATAAAGGCGTCTCAATAAGATCTTTGTGTGAAATCAACCACAACCACAGAGAGAAAAAAAGTGTACATACATGACCGGTGCCTCAGTGTCCCGGGAAGCCCCCAAAAGTTCCCGGCTATAGATATTACAGTTGCCCACATATCTATTTATCTTGGGACTAGATCAATCCTTCGCATGTCCTTTCCCCAACACCACTGCCGCCGTCGCCGCCGCTGCGGGAAGGGATGTAAATGTAATCACAATTCGTACGCGGACTGTATCGTCATGTCCGTCGCTCGGGCCCCATATCGCCACTTCGAGTTGGCGCGGAGGCGGTCAGATGATTCCGTTTGAAAGGACGCCCGCTGTGTGTAGATATAGACGCCCACATAACTCGTAGGCTTTCTGTTTGGCATCCATAATTCCGCCATGCTCAATTCTCTTGAGAACATCTGGAACCTTGACCCTGGCGTGAGAAGGGAAGAATGCTATCTCCTCTGAAAGGTGATTGCGCATCCAGCAAACGTGGACTATTAGCTCCAGGTACCCTGTGCCATCTTCTCAACGCTTCGCCCGAGAGTCTTCGTTCGCAGCCGGGCGTGAATGCTTGCGTTTCATATGCTTTCGACGGTGTTGCCTACTTACATTCTTAACTTCCTTGGACTTTGTGCTTCTCTTTTCGCTGGTCGTATCTGCATCTTTCCCCCTATGTCTCAGGCTAGCCTCTCCCTCGCTGATCCCCGCGCCCCGCTTCATGCTCTCTACCACAGACCCGAGTTTATACATACTCACCGGGTCACTATGGTCAAGCAGGGGACTTGCCCTCAATGGGAAAAACCAATCGAACACTTTATAACCCATGACCTCCCTAAAGTTTTCCCCTGCACCAATGTCGAACGGATTACCACCAGGTGGGGATTCGAGGATGGCAAACACACGCGTCTCCATTTTTGAAGGATTTGTAGGTCCTGAAACGGTGGGTTGCGAACCTGATGGAGAGAGAGGAGTGTTTGTGGTCTTTTGTGATGACACGACATCGTTCGGGGAGGATGTTGCGGTCGAGAGCGGATCATAGGCCCTCGGTGGCAGCGTTGGAGTTGTCACATTTCCATTCGTGGCTTGTGCCGTAACGTTCTGATCACTATCACCCATGTTTGCGCCCTGCTGCTTGAGAATCTGAAACTGCTCTTCGGGAGGCCTCGGATAAGTGATCAATCTCAAATCCGTCCTCTTCGATTTGTGATAATGCTCTAGAACCCTGGGCGGCAAATATACCGCCAGATACCAGACCTTGGTCTTGCGTGTGAAATTTTCAATGGTGGTAGAATTGATGAAAGCGAATTGCAAACTGGACCCACACATGCCTGCAGTAAAAATGAAGAACAATGTCGCGAAGATCAAGGTCAGTATCCAATGCACGTTAATGAAATTCCCAGGCTCTTCACTTCGGCGTCGGGCGAAATAGTACGCCATGACAATCAGGGTGTGCAGGCAAAACAGGGCTGCCCAAAATGTGAATTGTATAAAGAACTTGAACGACGTTTCAGACACAATTCCGCCAACCCAGGGACAGAAGTGGTCCATCTTTAGCACGCATCGGCCGAGTTCTCTGCAGTGGTGTGCTCGGTCGGGTTTGTAGTTGTAACATGTTGAGCAGAATGGTGGGCGACCGTCCCAGCCGCAGACGAAGACGTCCCTGTGCCAGAAGTCTTGAGCGCGGAAACCAAGGGCCTCCCGATCCTGCTGTGGGCGGAGGTGTCGGGGTGTATATCCCTCCGTCGAGTCATACTCGAGTGCCTCTTCCTTACGAGGTGCACTCCTCCCGCTCGACCGCTGCCGTTCTTTCTCAATCCAATACTGCTCCCCACGCGGAATGAGGCCAGGATTTGTTATAATCGTCAAGATCAGGCGGCCGAAACATGTCAGCGTGACAAGCAGGAGAAGGTAGAATATAACGAGGACGGCGATCGCAGAACTGGTCTCGCGGCGGACAAGCAGTGAATGTTTCGGGTGGATGAGATACTTGAGGCACACGAGATCCGTGAGCACCCATGATGAGTACCCAATGATGCCAAGGAGGAATATAGGAACGATTCGTGCTGTCACCACATTCCCTCGTTTGTTGGCTTCCCCTGGCCGCATGGTCTTCATGGCGACGGGCGGGATACACGGACAGGGTAGGAGCAATGAGCGGATTCAGCACCGGACAAACATGTCGCTGTCACCGTAGCTGTATATTGAAAGCCATTGAGTTGGCGGGTCGCACTCAGGGGCGCTATGTGTGTACAATGGTTACCTGTACCGTGTAAGTGATAGTGGTCAAAGGTTGGCACGATGGTCGTCAGATTGACTACGGATCTTGGAAATGACGCAGCGAGTGAGGCGGCACACATCTAGAAGGTGTGCCGAACAGTTATTGGTAATTTCGTACGCAGATGGGGAACGGAAAGGAACTCGTGTCACAATGTTTTATCATTGCCATCCTTTTTCTTGGAAAGTTACCGCCATCCGCCAATCTAGAAGGGTCCGTTGGATGGGAATTATTCATGGAATCTTGGCCCTAAATTCGAGGCGACTCATTCAGCAATCTTCACGACAAGCCCGCACAAATGCGCCTAGGCCTTTTCAAGCTTCTCCCGCAGAATGCCCTTCAATGTGACCGCGTCCGCCGCGAATTTGCTAATGCCTTCTCGCAGCTTCTCAACCGCCATTTGCTCCTCATTGAAGTCGAAACGGAACAAGGGTTCATCATTGATGTAGCTGCGCCTGGGAATGTCGAGCGACTTGGCTTCATCGGCCTTGAGCTTCTGGGGTACCGGATCGGTCGAGTTGTACAAATGCTCAAGCAAGTTGGGAGAAATAGTCAGGTAGTCGCAGCCAGCAAGTTCTGTGATCTCGCCAACATTTCGGAATGAGGCACCCATGACAATAGTTTTGTAGTCGTATTTCTTGTAGTAGTTGAAGATGGACTGCACGCTCTTGACGCCGGGGTCCTCGTTGGCAGGGAAGTCCTTCTTCATAGCAGCCTTGTACCAATCGAGGATACGGCCAACGAATGGCGAAATGAGGAATGCACCAGCTTCGGCGGCTGCGATGGCTTGGACCAGGGAGAACATCAAAGTCAAGTTGCAGTTGATACCCTCCTTTTGGAGGATCTCCGCGGCCTTGATGCCTTCCCAGGTGGAAGCAATTTTGATCAAGACGCGGGACTTGTCAATGCCGATGGACTTGTAAAGCTGCGGATTGTGAGCCTGTTGGTTCTCGCAGTAGAAAGCTGCAAACTTACCGCAATGAGGTGACGAGCCTTGTCCACCGAAGCTTGAGTATCAAAGGAGAATCGAGCATCCACCTCGGTCGAGACTTTGCCCGGAACGATCTTGAGAATCTCATTGCCAAATTCGACCAAGAGTCTGTCGAGAGTGGCATCGACCTGCTCGTCAATGGTTTTTCCCTAGCGCACGTTGTTCAGTATGAGATTTGCCCAAGCCACGAGAAAGTCCGACTTACATGAGCCTTGCCATATTCAACCGCAGGATCTATCAACTTGGCATATTCAGGTTTCTTGGAGGCGGCGAGAATGAGGGAGGGGTTTGTGGTGGCATCTTGTGGCTTGTATTTCTCAATTGCTGCACCAGGTTAGCAACAATTCAGGCTTGAGATGTTGACGAACTTACTGTGGAAGTCACCCGAGTCGCAGACGACAGTCTATTGAGCTTGGTCAGTGCCTCATCCGACGTTGAACATTGGCGGGAATTCGGGAGGAGCAGGATAGAGGGACGAGAACGTACGGTGCCAGTGGCTTTGAGTTGGTCGAGAGAGGAAGTCATGGTTGGAATTCGGTGTGGTGATATATGCTAGGTCTTTGGGATGGTTTCAGCGATGCAACTATGGCCCAAGGAGTTCACTTGATCAAGACGAGGGGAAAAAATTCTTCTGGATAAAATGGCTGCGCCGGGTGGTTTTAAGCAAATGCGTCTCATTCTGACGGGCCTGTGACGAAGCAGTTAACAGGGAGGGGAGGGACGCCACCAGCTCGCGATCGGGAGGTGGGGCAACAGGGTGACAGGGTCGCTGGCACCCCTCGGGCTGCCCCTCCATCCCTACATCCCTACAGCAGATACCCCTAAAGAGTCCCCCAAGGTACCTAAGCTTGGCCAATGTCAGGGCCGGAAACACTCGGGCAGGCTTCCTAGTCAGGGAATTCCGGTCTCTCCTTGAAATCCCAGCAAAATATGGCTTGTTTCTCGCGTCCCAACATTCGACGATGTATTTCCACGGTCCGAAATTCGAGAATGCCTCCGACTAACATTTGCTCGTTTGCAACACAATCGAGATCTTGCCTTTGGCCTCATGCTGATCTTCAATATTTCCATCGGGCTTACCTAAACCTTGGACAGCGGTCACCAGTGACATAAGTCGGGCTTTCAGGCATATGAGTTCACGCTGCTCGCAAACGGAACCACAACTTCTCGATACCAACAAATCATTAGCTGAGGACGGCTTACCTCAATCCTGGATCCTGACTCAGCGTTGGTGCTTGACAATCACGGCCGACACACGCCCCGGCTTCCATTGCCTCAATGCAGGATCCCCGTAACTCTAGTCGCCACCCACTCTGTGTCGCGGACAGCGTCGTCGCAGAGGAAGAAACATCCGCCGTTCCAGAAATCCTCTGACTCTAATATTGCATCAGCAAAACAATTACTGAGCTACTGGTGATAGGAAAACGTTTCGGGCGTCTCGGAAAGCCTAGTCTGCCATGGCTTGCAACTCGTATGCGCCAAGGTATGCAGCATGTGCTCCATCCTCTGCACGCTGCTCGTCACGTCCCCCTGTTGCTCGATTCATGTACGTGTACGTATAAAGATAGATATATTACTGATTATCAGGGTATGAAGGTGGAATGACCTGATTATGTTCTGTAGTTCCATCTTCTCACACAGCAGAAATCCAGCCCATATTGTCGGATTTTCTGACTCCCTCTAGATACCGTTTTTGAGATCCTGCGTATTTGACATCCCCGCAACTAACCGTGCAGCTCGTGCGTATTCCAATCACAAAAGCAGTGTTTTGAAACAAATGATGAGACAGAGAATGGTATCATTGTGCTCGAGGAAAACATCAAACTGAAAATGAAATCGAAAACAGCCAAGTTAATCTTTCAGCCCAAAGGCTTTGCGTAACATGGGGAACTTCTTCTTTTTCCCGCTGCGACCAATAGCTTCGGCAAACTCATCTGGTTTGCGCATGCTGCCTTGGTTCAGCCTCGTCGTCCCGTTCCGCGTTGGTGGCCCATCCATAGTGCTCGGTCGAGCATTGTCAGTTGGTAATGTAGGAGGCAACGGCCATGAATCACTCATGACTCGTTCAGGCATGTGTCGACGGTGGAGTTTGGCATGCCCATGCTGTTGTCCACCAGGGTTCTGCAGTTCTTTCGACGCTTCCAACTTCGCTCTTGCAAGTGCGATGGCTTGATCTCTTTCGGCGTTTGAGGCGAATCCAAGCCGCGATGCTTTGTTGGTATCCGTGGTCTTGAGCGGCTTCAGAGGGGAGTCAACCACTAGCGAAGGCGACTCCTCCTTTGGCTTCTTGCTGCGAAACATTCCAAGTAATCCCCGCTTCTTCTCGCTGTTGGGAGACAGGGCTTCAGCACTGCCGGCGGGTGCAGCTGTATTCACCTGGGGAATTTGAAGTTTCGGTGCAGCTTGTGTTTTGGCTCGTTCCTCATCCGAGCTGTCGTCCAGGTCGGTGGAGTCAGCATCATTATTCCTGCGTGGAATGCCGCGCACCGGTGTAAATTGTGGCACATCCGTGTCGTCGTCACTATCATCGGCGAAACGTGAGCGCCATTTGCTGCGCTGAGGCGGTTCATCTTCGTCGTCCGAGTCAAGGATACGGGACCGGTTATTCTGCCCACCGAGACTCATTGAGAGAGTAGTGGCTGTATTTGGCTGGCGGCGACTAAACATCGAGGATGACCGTCTGACGTCGTTCGACGCACGGAGTGTCGGTACATTATCGATGGATCCTCTCATAGAAGTTCTCATGGTGTGAGAGCCATCCGGGGGGGAGAACGGTCGCCTGCCTACAGGCGAAACCGACCGGACGCCATTAAGCCTGTCTCCTCGCAAAGTCGGTTCGTCCGAACCTCTCATACTTCTACGCATTGTATATTTGCCGCCTGTAGTAGACTTGCTGCGACGAGCCTTCCGGAACGAACTCTCCGAGTCACTGTCATTCGACAAGACCGGCCGGACAGGTTGTGTCCGAGCCGATACTACAGAAGTTGCAGCCGCCGCGGGGAGAGGCATATGTTTCTTCTGAAGCGCTGCGCGGGGTTGATTTGGTGCAGTAGAAATCAATGTCTGACTCCTTCGTTGTTGCGGGGGGGCAACGGTTGAAGCTGGCATTGAATTGCGATTCTCGTTACGCATGGTCTTGCGGAACGCGGGTTCGGTCTCCGGGGGAGAGCTGGCTCGCATTGACTGTCGGAAAGGTGCAGCGGCGGCCGCAGCATATCCGAGGTTATGAGTTTCGATTGTTGGATAGGCAGACGGTTGCATTTTTCTTTGCAGTGGTGAGTCCGGCAGTCTTTGTGCAGCTGCCGCTGCCGCAGGTACAGATGCAGCGGCAGCAATTGCAGCAGGCGTCTTCTTTTTGCGTCTAGGCTGTGATGCAGATGATTTTGATGCAGGGGCACGTGCAGGTCGAGGCTGTGCAGGCTGTGTTATCTTGCTGTATGCTGTCGTGGCAGGTTCTATAGTCCTCATTTGCAAAGGCTCCTGATCAGGAATTCGAACCGGCTGCGGCACATTGTAGCCAGTAGTCGGAGGTGCAGGTCTGTTCTCAATGGTGTGTTGGCTAGGGAGATATCGTGTCTGTTCTGCGATGCCGCTCCAGTGAGCCTGTGTCTCCTCCCACGACCCAGCGCCTCGCGCATCGTGAGAATTGGAAGATGATACCGGCGCCAGAGGACTCTCGGGTGAAGTAAGAAGGGCTGGCGGAGATACAATGGGACTTTCCACAATGGCGTCAATTGAGCCGAATCCCATCCCTTCCATCTCCGAAGGATCCTCTGCCGCATCGCTGTAAATGCTATCATTGTCCGACACATCATCGTCGACGGCTTCCGTGGCTGCATGTGAGTCCAG